GTAAAGTTTGACGTGGTTATTATTATCATTGACCCTAAAATTTCAAGAGCCGTAAACCGGACTTAATCCGAAAAATTGTAGATTACCTTCCCAACCTTCAGATCTAAATTTCGAGAATGCAAGAACAACCCATCGGCTGATACAGTAAAACAAACAGTAGAGGAGCCTCTGCTAGCTGCATCCTGATGTCTCACAGGCCTGCAGCACAAGTGGCGTATATCAATTAGAGCTGCAGACTCGAACGAGAGTAACAAAGCATGGGAAACTAGAGACAAAAAGGAAAACAGCAAGCAGCGAAAAAGGTGGCCCTGAGGAAGACGAGCGAGCTGCGTGTTGCAGAAGCTTGCCCAAGAGTTAGGTGGCGAGAGTACCGCTACAGTTTCTCCCTCCCTTCTCTGCTAGCTGCCATGGCTTTTGGGGGTGGGGACGCCGGACGGGCGACGGAGTCGAGCACCTGCATGCCTCTCGTGGCCTGAGGCGGGCTCGCACTCCCACCAAGCGAGCTGCTGCTCTGATGCATGCACTTCGTGCCTCGTTGCTTTCATGCCGTTCTGGTGTAAGCTCCAACCCCCCTGCGCTGGCTTTACAGCCCTCCTTTGATGGTTACGTATTAAGCGCGGGCTACGAGGCGGGAGCGCAGCGGCCCTGCGCCTTTTCTTGTTGGCATCATTCATCCTCCTTGGAAGGAGTTAAGCAATGATGTGCATCTGTAGTTGGGTTGTTGGGTGGGGCCCCCATACTAAGTAAGAGCATCATGGATAATATGGTAATTTCAATTTATATTTTCAGGCGTCAAGAAATATAAATCTTGTTCCCCCACGGATTTGGTGGCCCAAAAAAGCCCAAAAAGATCACAACTTGCCCGAAATTGACTGTTCCCGGCCCCATCTGCGGCTGATCTACATCTGATCGAGCACGTGTCCACCTCGACTTGATTGGTCCCTGCTATCTCGACCAATGATTGATCGACACGATTCATCAAGAAGCATCGTGACGTGTCAATTCACGAGAGGAGGGGGCCGAGAGAGTGATTGACCCTGACGTCTTCGAAATGACCTCACGAGGCATCTTCGAAGTAGATGGGCTGTTCTTAATGGAGATCCGATCCGTTTACGAACGATTAGCAGGCCTGGCGTCCGTTAAGCCCAGCAAGAAATGGTTGCTTCTGCTTTTACGCATGAGGATTACCTGTTATATATATTACATTTTTCCTATTTGATCAGAAAAGACTAATCGAGCATTTTGAGAATTCCATCTTACATGTGTTAACTATTGCATCGTTCATTTTATGACCTGAGATTATGGATTCAGTGTCCTAAACAACGGATCTTAATCTTATAGCCGAAGAATGGACATACTTGATTGGGCATGAATCGGGGTCTTAGAGTGGCACTTAATTTCCTCGAAAGATTAGTTTAAAACCATCGCATTGTTGAAATTTCAATATTTGCGGAGAGAAGACTCCAAGTGGCAATCCTTCGATCGATGCGACTACGGGGAGAGAGAGCATCTTGTATTCGTGGATCTCTATTAAAAAATCGTATCTAAGCAAGCTATTTGAATATTTGAGTAGCTAATAAAAGAAAATTCAATCGATACAGTAATTTAGGATAAAAATATATTAAATATTTTACTTAAGTTTATTAAATTTAATGATCAATAAAAAATAAGTGTTAATATGGAGGGATTGATTACCTTAACGAGAGGACTCTCTCAACTTATCTCTATCTATCTGCATCTTTTGTTCAGTATCTTCTTGAGTTCATCTCAATTAATATCATTTTCAATTCTATCAATTAATTATAGTTATTTTATACAAGTACAAAGGTATACATGACTAAAAAATTTTCACATAACAGTTTAATCTAACAATATATGTTTATTCATTATTTTGCGGAAACAATTAGATCATCATTTTCACCGAAACATAAACAAATTAAATTTCAAAAAAGCACTTCTTTGGCACATTTCAAAATACATAATAGAGGAAATCAGCACAACAGCATGCGCCTTTATGATCGACCGTAGCAATATCAGAAAAAGATGAAGCAAACAAACAAAATGCATCGTATAATAGGAGACGACTTTGTGCCCACTAGTTCACCACTCTGCAGTAGTTGCGTATCTCGCCTTGTTCACCGGTGAGGACACCAATTTTGCCCATCTTCACCATGGCAGCTGCGAACTTCTGCTTGAAGAGCACAGAACTGCCTGCTAACTGCCTCACCTTTCCCGCGGTAGCAGGCGTGGACATGAGGGTTTGGTCGGAGGTGAAGAGGCCGCGGTTATCGAGGAGGTTGCTGTAGTAGCTGGTGTCGAACGTGAGAGGGCTGGGTGGATCCATGTCCACCTCGTTGTTGCTCCCCGGAGGGCATTCCCTCTTCAGCTGGTAGGCATACTTGGGGTTCAAGGTTGGGTCGGTGCTCGCCTTCCGGCTGAAGTTGTACAGCCTGTTGGAGACTGTAGGACAGTGCGCTTCGCCGATGGTATGTGCTCCTGCATACGACGTTGCAATCTCCTCAGGATGCATGGCTTTTGCATGCCTCGACCACAAATAGGGACTTAATATTGCTTCTGATTTATTACCTGAGAGTGTGATCATGTCATCCTGGCTCATCCCTTTCGAGGCAAATGAATTAGTGAGTTGTATTAGGTTAAACGTCGGAGGAGGGAGATCGATGGTGTCGCTTGATCTGGAGATCTTTCCATCTCTTCTGCCTGCTGGGACCGCGTAGAAAGTTCCTCCGTACTGCACGCATGACACCGTTTCAATTCCAAGTTACACAACTTTCACGAAATTCTGCATGAACTATAAGTTTCACGTTGAAGAACAGTAAGGTAAGCTAAAAGTCAAAGAAGGCAACGTCTTGGACTTAGGTTTGTCTTTTCCTTATCATCGTAAGAGTTTTAGAGTCGAAGAACGTTACATGTGCAACACTGTCTCTGGCGGCGAATGCAAGAATGTCTGCACATGAGACCGTCCCTTTGCAGACTTTCTCTAACTTTTTCTTGGCCTTGTCGATAACTTGAAATGCTTCATCTTCAAGGGTTCGGTTGGGGATCGCATCCTTCTCCGCGGCATTTTT